AAAAGTTTTACATGTACTTTTAGAGCCATGAAGGTTTTTATCAAATAGCCTAAGCTTAGCTCTCCAAACCTTAAAAACTCTAAATAACATGAGTGAAGAAGGAAAGGACCAAGTTTGTGAATTTAAGATCCTTGGAAAAAGTCCCAGCTTTGAGGAAAAATCATGAATGCAAAAACCCCAAACTTGATCCATGTCCTAAACTTTGAACTCCTAGATTTCACTCTTGAGCTATTGGATTTGCATAAGGTGTGTTTTCTTTGGGTGTCTCTAACTTCTCAATGTTGCAACTTGTCGGGAATAAGGGGGAGGATCACGGAATTAGAGTCCCATGTCTAACAAAAAGTTTAAGCATTCATTAATTTACAACTTTCAACAATAGTTTACAAATATGGCCAACCAACCAAGACCTAAGGAGAATATTCACCAACAAATTAATGAAGTCTTCATGAAATGTATATGCCAATAATTTTCTAATTAGAGAGGCTTAGGAAAATGCTTGTCAAGGTTTAAATGTGGGTACACTCTAAGAATGGTTATGAGAGAGGACCACACCGTGACAGCTGTAGAGGTAAAATTCTATTACGTGGGCATGCCAGGAGATTTTGAAAACTCATTGCACATACAAGCTGTGAGTGAAAGCTAAATCACACACATAGTTTGATCCTCAAGTCATATCTGGTAAAATTAAAAGTAGAAGACTAAGCCATCTCAGCAAAAAAAGTGACGTCATTCAATGTATAGTGGACCTAAACATTCTTCTGTGCAATTTCCACTGTTGTGTTACACTAGATAGCCAATCCCTGCCAAAAGATCTTTCTCTGTGATGCTTGGTTTCAACACCCAATCTGCTTTAGCATTGAGATCAGGTGCCATGAAACAGTAGCTACAATGTGACAAAAACTTCCATTAGTTTTTGCTGGAGCAAAGTACTTGCTCCCTCTATATTCTAACAGCAGCAATGAAAATGGTGTGAGCTCTTGCCGTTGGCTTGCACTTGCAAGGCCTATTAGAGAAGAGTGAGAGAGGAGGAAAATATATTACATGTGTTCATGGATGTGTCAAGTGCACATACACACGGATCACACACACAAGCATTCACTGTAAGTTTCACGAATTTGAGGCAAACTTTGAGATGTTTGGGACAGAATCTGCTCAAGAACTTAGCAGCAGCAACGTTTATGAGCGGGTAGTCGTGGGTGAGTTTGAGAGGGAGCTTCTTGAGCTTCTCAGGATGAACGTAGAAAAGAGAAAAGAGGGAGAGTGAGAGAAAACAGTCAGGAGAGAGAGAAGAAAAAAAGCAACTACACATAATAAGGGCTCAATGACAAAGTCGTGGGCATTTGGATTTCAAGTGAAGTTAATTGTGTGGCAAGACGCAAGCATCTTGGAAATCACGTTGAAAAGAAGTTCCAACTTGCCTCAGTGCTGCCCTGGATTCCAAGGTAAGGAGGTGCACTCTTTTATTGATTTTAGATTTAAGGTTGCTCCTAAAAGAATCTAAAGACATTGCTAAAGTTTTTCTTCATTATTTAAAAATGTGTGCGCATTGCCCATTAGCTAGGCAGATTACTAATCCCACATATATAACAATATATATTAAGACATGCTAGGCCAATCACCTACAACATTATCATATGTATATATATGAAACGCATTATGTTGATTTGTTAAGTGTACAATAAATTCCTTTGCAAGAAGAAATTTTTTGAATGGAATTACCACCTGGGAAGCAAATTAGATTGGCTAGTCCGTGAGCCTATAGCAATACCTTATGCCAGAGGATCCAGCAAACCACGACGTTGTAGTTTTGTACAAGTGGGACAGTACCACTTGGCCTTAAATCTCGTCTCGGAGCTCAAGCCAACGCACTGATAATGGAACCATTCCCCTCCTGTGCACTGAAAGAAAACCAGCAATTCTAAGTTATGATCGCGGGATCATGTCATCCGTAAGTTATGTCACGTTACGATCACAAGATCGAGGGATGGGAAACTTACGTTCTCGTTATCGCAAGCGATCATGTCCCCAAACGAAACCTGCGAGGAAGAACACCAAACATATGGACAGGAAAAAAATGAAAACAATACCTGACCACAGATACAATACGTTTCTTCGTTGGGATCCACGGGTTGATCCAAGTCGGGAGCTGGAAGGCTTCTCTTCCTGTAGTTGCCAGGAGGTGGCATGAGCTCGGTGTCCCGATCGCGTTCCCAGTCCTTGAGTTCTAGTCTCTTTCCTGGCGGGACAAAGAAGCTAGACTTCCTTTTCTCGTCGCGCAATGGCAGCATTGGAAGGATCGCAGGCTCGTCTGGTGATATCTTCCCCTCTATAAGAAAAGCAAAGCTTAAGAACAGAAAGAACAACGAAAAGGAGAAAATTTCTCATACCAAGCTTGAGATCCTCCGCGAACTGGTTTAAATCCTCGTCTAGTCTCTTCATCTGGCTATCGATCTGACCAAATCATGCTCGTAAGAGAGAACAAAACAGGGAATCTTAGCAGTAGAAGTTTGAAGCTACTTACTTACCAAGTCGTAAGCTTGCTGTGCTAGCAAAACTTTCTCCGTGCAAAGGCTCCGGATATTGTCGTGGTTTGCTTCGATCTCCTTCTTTAGCCTCTCGAATTCTTCCTGCTCTGGCGATGGCTTCTTGATCTGCTGCGTGGGAAGGAACAGGCAAGTCTTCGTGTCCTCGCGTGTTTGTAGCATCATATCTGTGAATCACGCATCATAAGCCGAGAACAAGAACGATCAAGCACTTAACTGTGTGCTCGCACATCGAGCTCCGTCATTGTGGAGAGATGGCGCTGGACTTCGGCGTGGAGAGAGCTCGAATCTGTGGATCCATCCAATGCCATCTGCCGGCGATGAGCTCCGCTGCTATAGGCGATAGAGATTCCAACTTACATTCTAGATAATCGTCCACAAAGACGCCGGTCCTGGCGATCGCCATAGCTGTCTCCTCTGTTTGAAGAGCCCTAAAAACTTGGCAGGGGTTTTATTTCGCATTTCTATTTCATAGGGCAAATGGCGCTCTCGGCGCATTCTCTGGCGCTCGGCGCTCCATCCAGAATGCTCGAAGTTCGATCGAGAATCCATGCTCTTCCGAGGTAAATTTCCTCCTAGCCGTTGTTTTTCTCCCACATGTTCTTCCCGGATGGCCTTTAGCTCGATATATTTCAAAAGAACAAAGCTTTCGAGGCTTGCGACGTGCAATGCTGCCGATATGTCTGCGGGATTTGGATCGGGCGCCGAGGAGAATCCTTACGAGGTACTTGGCTGCGATTGTGAAAAATCGGTCACAGTTTTCCTTCTTCCAGGTTCTTGGCGTAAATCCGCTCGAGAGTTTTGATAAGATCAAAGTGCTTTACTCGAGGAAGCACAAGGACGCTGAAAAAAGTGGCAATGAGGCTGCCGCTGCTCGAGTACGTCCTGCCATTCTACACTTTTTTGCTTGATCTTTTTGCGTTCTTCGCACAGTTGGAGAGAGCGTATGATAAGATTATGATGTCTCAACTCTCCAAGAGAAAGAAGGGATTGACGTTTGGAGCCGTCGAGGTATGTCGTTGTTTGTTCTTCTCGTTTAAAAATCCTTTCAAAAGGTCTCGAAGAACATCAAATATGCAGACAAGCAACCGCTACTTCCATGGGGTCCAAAGTATTCGCATCAGCCTTTCACTTGTTTCCGTGTGCTAGTCTAACGCAGATCATGAATTTGATAGAAAAGCTCGCTCCATCAAGAGAGATATCATGATCAACGTTGGCATTTCAGTAGCAATGGTGAGTTTGTGGCTGTATTTCCTAGTCTCTTTCAAAGTTTTGACATAAGCTTCTTTGCGCAGTCTGTTTGGGTTGTGATATCAGAGGGTATGGCTGACTGGAAACCTTTGCAAGTGCTTATCTTTGGCTACGTCTTTCAGTTGTTCAATAAGCTCAAGCAGTACGAACCTCCTGATGTCACAGTCTATGTAAGTGATGGTTTTCGAGCTTTACTACTTTACAAGTATGATAACCAAACACAAACAATCTGTTTCAGGATGAAGAGGATCACAACAAAAACGTTGCAAAGAGTGGAAAGAGACTCCTTCGCACGTTTGGCCTTGTTTTCGGGTGCGTCACTGTTGCCTCATTGGTAAGTCATGCTTTTTCCTTCTTTCGTTTCTCGTTTCATGAACGTCGTACCACTGGATCATCAGGTGTTTACTGGTATTCTGAATGGCATCGAGATTATAGGAGCTTCCATTCCTCGGGCCCTGTACAATAGCCAGGTAAGACTTCTTTCACAGTGGTTTCTTGAGAGATACTTTCCTCTTTTTGTCCAGGAAACATTCGTGACCATCGTCTCGGCTGTCCTTATGTTCTTCGTGGGATCATTCTACAGGTAGCATCTAGACAAAGACATGTTTGATTCTGCCGGTTTGAGTGATCGATGGGGTGTTACTGCCAAAATCATTTTTGTGGAATGCCCAGCAAGGAAGAAAGTGTGCTCGCTTTGCCGAGAGTGCTTTGGTGAACTGGAGATTCCAATAGTGGGATAGAAATCGAAGCTTTGGTGTTTGGAGGAGCACCAAACAATGCGATATTCGTTCGCCTTTGGGCTGACATAAAGTGAGACGATCATTGTGAAGCCCCACTTACCATTTTTCTAGATAATCCTTTGTGTCGCATTTACCGTGAAGATCTAACGTCGACCAATGCGGTATAGATTAATTTCGTGGCCTTTCGAGGACGCTAGATGTGGTGGTCAAAGTGATAGAGATTCCATTCGGGAAGTCGATTCGCCCCACAAGAAGCTCGATTGCGATCAATTTACAAAGAAAAACAAAGGTGGTGGTGGCACATTATAGATTCCCCAAATATTCCAGTCCCATGATCATGGCCGCTCCCACTAACTCAAAGCACGCGCTTTTTGCCGCTGAAACACGAAAGAATGAGAACGATAAAAGAATCAATAAAAAGAGGAAGGGTATCATGTTTAAAAGTTTTTAAGGGCTCCGCATTCTTTCTCCTCTGGCGTGGAAGAGAGAGCGCGCCTTGACGCAGGCACGAAATATTTCGATCCGGACGGCACGTCGATCGCGATGCTGCGGCGGAGCTGATCGATCGATCCATTCCGGTAAGCGCGCTTGTCCAATCCCATCCGGTTTCGTCTCTTGATTTCATGTCCATCGACGCGATCGTTGCATTGCCCTGCCTTCCCTCGCGTCGTCTTGTTCTTCCGGTCGATCCACGGACGCAATGCTGCTTTCTTCTCTTCTTCCTCGAGCGTTACCCTAATTGTAGCTTTCGTTTCCCTCTTTTCGGTTGTTTTTGATTCCCTGAGTAAGGAATGCCGTGCCCGGATTTCTTGTCCGTGGCCGAGAGATGCATGACTTACGGAGTGGACATTCTTGGTACAAGATAGCTCCACTGATGGATCGTTTGCTCGTGTACGCCATTCTCTTTGGTACTACACACGGTAGTACAGCCAGCTTGTCTCTAGAGACTTTATGCACGAGCGCTTGTGCTTCCTGGTTTAATGCAGCGGTTTCTTTTCTTTCCTTCTCTGCCAGAATTCTGAAACTTACAACAAAGAAGAGATAGAGTCTGATGCCACAAGTTTTCAAGTTCCTGCGTTCTAGATATCTTCCACCCGGGTTTTATGATCGGCTCCAGCAGCAGTGTCTAGCTCCAGGCATGATATGGCAGTCCTGGAGGTCCGGAATTTGCAGAATGGGAACTGCTCGGCTTCTAGCAAGCAAAGCAAATCTAAGCTTCTGCTCATGTCTATGTTGCCTCGTTACCCTTCCATGCCGACTTATCCCCCCTCTCCACCTCGAAGGGACATCGATGCTTCAGAGGTTCGTGATGTTACATTCAAGGTGGAGGGTATGGAATGTGCTGCTTGTGCAGGCTCGATTGAAAAGGCAATCAAACGCCTTCCCGGGATAAAAAATGCAGCTGTTGCTGCTCTCCATGCAAGAGCACAGGTCATCTATCATCCGGCCTTCGTTGCTGTAAGTTGTCCACTTCTTGCTTGTTGATGTTTGAACCGTGGCTGACAAAAGCTGTGCTTCTGCAGGAAGAAGCTATTCGTGAAGCTATCCAGGATGCTGGATTTCAGGCTTCGGTCATCGAAGACCATAGCCACCAGAATGAGAGCAACATTTGCCGGGTTCGCATCAAAGGCATGACGTGCACAGCATGCTCCACTTCTATCGAGTCTGCTCTTCGGAAGATGGCGGGGGTTAAGAGGGCCGTGGTTGCTCTTGCAACGGAAGAGTCGGAGATACACTACGATCCCAAAGTTGTGAGTCACGGGCTGCTGATGGCAGCCATTGACGACGCCGGGTTCGAAACAGAACTGATTAGTGCGGGAGAGGACAGGAACAGAGTTTACTTGCGTCTTCAAGGGGTTCACTCACAGGAAGCTCTGAAGGTTATCGAGATCTCTCTCATGGCTCTACCAGGCGTGAAGTCAGTTGAATTCAACGCCATTGAGGAGCGCTTGATGATTTCGTATGATCCCGACTTAACCGGTCCAAGGTGCTTCATTGAGGTAATCGAGCAGACTAGTCCGACTCCGAACTTATACCGAGCGTCATTGTACATGAATCCGGGGGAAGGATGCCCAGACAGAGTCGAAGAAGTCAGACGGTACCAGAAACTTTTCTTGTGGAGCAGTATATTCAGCGTGCCGGTCTTTTTCCTCTCGATGGTCTTCATGTACATTCCAGTTATCAAAAAGTGGCTGGACATGAAGCTGGTGATGGTGCTGACTGTTGGAGAAGTTTTGAGGTGGGCATTATCAACGCCAGTCCAGTTTGTTATAGGCTGGAGGTTCTACGTCGGTGCTTACAAGGCTTTACAGCATGGATCAGCTAACATGGACGTTCTGGTCGCCATGGGGACAAACTCGGCTTACTTCTATTCGGTCTATACAGTCGTGCGTGCCGCGACTTGCCAACACTTTCGGGGGACAGATTTCTTCGAGACAAGTGCCATGCTTATTTCATTTATTCTACTCGGGAAGTACCTGGAGGTTCTCGCCAAAGGAAAGATGTCCGAGGCTATAGCGAAGCTCATGAACCTGGCACCTGATGTTGCTGTGCTGCTTTCGGTTGACAGCAATGGGAACGTCGTTTCGGAACGCGAAATCAGCACCCAGCTCATACAACGTAACGACATCATCAAAGTCGGGCCCGGTTCCAAAGTTCCTACAGATGGTGTGGTCGTGTGGGGACAGAGCCACGTCAATGAAAGCATGATCACCGGTGAAGCTCGGCCTGTGACAAAACGTTTGGATGACAAACTTATAGGTGGCACTATGAACGAAAACGGTGCTCTACGGATGCGTGCAACTCACGTCGGCTCGGAGACTGCACTTTCTCAGATTGTGAGGCTTGTCAAAGCTGCTCAGATGGCGAAAGCGCCAGTGCAGAAATTCGCCGACAAAATCTCTCAGTTCTTTGTTCCGATGGTAAGTATTTACTTTTCCTATCTTGCTCGCGCTTACCTAAATTTTGCCTTTGCAGGTGGTAGTAACAGCTTTCTCGACTTGGATGGTATGGTATACCGCTGGCAGAGCTCGAACTTATCCAAGGTCTTGGATTCCGTCGTCCATGGACGAGTTTGAGCTGGCACTCCAGTTTGGAATATCGGTACTGGTGATTGCTTGCCCCTGTGCTCTGGGCTTAGCTACTCCTACTGCTGTTATGGTCGCCACTGGAAAAGGTGCAGCCCAAGGTGTTCTAATCAAAGGTGGCAATGCATTAGAGAGTGCACAGAAGGTGGTTATTCACAGACATTCTTTCTTCTTTCGAGGGAATAACTGAAACCACAGGCTAGTAATTCACATTGCTGGGTTTTCTTCTTTGTTTTTCCTCTTGCTTCTTCTTTTTACGTTTTCTTTTTCTCTCTGCACTTTGCTTGAAATTAAGACTAATACTTGTTTGTGATGCTTCAGGTGAAGTACATCGTCTTTGACAAGACCGGAACACTCACCAGCGGAGAGCCTGTCGTGGTTGGCACCAAGCTTTTCCAAAACGTGGCTCTCAAGGTCTTTTTTGATTTGGTAGCTTCCGCCGAGGTACTCTTATCATACTTTCTTATATCTCTCACGTATATATCTCGTTACAAAACAGGTGAACAGCGAGCATCCTCTTGCGAAAGCCATCATCGAGTACGCTAAGTCGCTGCAAGGCACGGGCTGCAAAGACCTCCTTTGGCTTCCAGAAGTGAAGGACTTCAAATCCATTGCGGGACAAGGAGTAACGGCAGAAGTGTCCGGGAAGCGCATCTGCGTGGGAAACACGAGGTTGATGGCCGAAAACGGGATCATGGTCTCTATAGACGTGGCCGAGCAGCTCAAAGAGACAGAAGTCATGGCAAGAACGGGAGTCCTGGGAGCTATAGGCGGAGAAATCGTCGGACTCATCGCCATCGCGGATCCAGTAAAGCCAGAGGCAGCAGCAGTCATCTCCTACTTGAAGTCGATGGGAATCCACAGCTTGATGGTCACTGGCGACAACTGGGGGACCGCCAGAGCCATCGCTCGCGAGATTGGGATCGACAACGTGATCGCTGAAGCACAGCCCAGCGTCAAAGCCGAGAAGATCAAAGAGCTCCAGGTAAAAGTTCTTTGCGTTTTTGGAGAACAAACTCTGGATCTCTTGCTCGTTCCAGGCGACAGGGATGGCAGTAGCGATGGTGGGCGATGGTATCAACGATTCCCCGGCGCTGGTGGCCGCGGACGTGGGCATGGCGATTGGAGCCGGGACCGACATCGCGGTGGAAGCGGCGGACATCGTTTTGATGAAGAACAACCTCGAGGACGTGGTGACCGCCATCGATCTCTCGCGGAAGACCTTCACGAGGATCCGGCTGAATTACCTGTGGGCTCTCGGCTACAACGTCTTGGGGATTCCCATCGCCGCGGGAGTGCTCTTCCCGTGGACGGGGTTTCGCCTCCCTCCATGGATCGCCGGCGCCGCCATGGCCGCTTCCTCGGTCAGCGTCGTGTGCTCGTCGCTGCTACTCAAGAACTACAAGCGCCCAAGAAAGCTTGGCTGACTTAAAAGAAATTTTTAAATTGCCGAATATTCTTATATACCTTTTTCTCTAGAATCTTTTATGCTTTGAATCATTTTTTGGGCAAATATTTCTAGGGTTCTTCGTCCACCATGGACGTGGCGAGCAGCAATGCCGCGCTCATGCGGCGGATCGTGCAGCTAGAGAGTGGTAATCTCTTGTAATTTCACACGCGCTGGCTTTCTTCTGATGGATTGAGCGTAGAGCGCGATGAGCTGCGGCGGGATGTGGAGGCCCTGTGCATGCAGCAATCTGGAGAGCGCTCCGGCGGTGATTTTATGTCTCGGTTGCAAGCTCGCAGGTCTGATTTCCTCTTCTTGTTGTCTCTCTCATTCAATTGATCCCTGAGATTTTTTCTGGGTAGGCTTGCTGGATTGGAGCAGGAATTGGAAGCTTACAAGAACAAAGTGTCGGCGTACAAGCGAGAGAATGAGAATTTGCAAGAAGAGCTCTCCGAGCTTTACAAGATAAAGGTTTATCGATTTTTTTTGTCTGGATTTTGTGTACGGCTTTTTGAGACTTTCGTTCTTTTGATTCTTCCGTAGAGTCAAGTGTCGGAGCTTTACAAGAACGAAAGCGAAAAGGTAAATGTTTTGGAATTTTGTTGGTAAATGACACCAATGTTCGTTGGCAGCACAAGAAGCTGGAGCAAGAAATAAAGTTTTTCCAAAACAACATGGCTTCCTCAATTAGTGAAAGGGACAAGCTTCTTCTTGAGGTATGTGCTGAATTTTTATGGTTATGCATTAGGAAACTATTGACGCAGATAGAAAGAATTCAAAATCACGGACAATCACTTGAAGAAGATCTTAAAGTTTTTCGCCGCAGGCAAGTCTCCTGGTTCTTTTCGTCTTCTTCATGCACCGTTGTTTTCCAGGCAGAAGGAAATGTTGCAGGAAAACGAATTAAAAAGCGCCCGTTTGGAAGAAATGGACGAAAACATGGAGAAACTGAATGCTCAACTGCACGTCTATCACCAGGTTCAGCATGGTGAAAGTGTTGTCTTTGTGACGTAAAGAAGCACTTGACTGCTGAGTTAACTAACAGGTTGTCCACAAATTCTGGCGCCTCCGATCTTCAAGTGAGATGGCGGAAGACACAGACGCGCTTGAGCAGGCGAAATCTCTCGTATCGGATGTAGACGGATCGTGGAGTTTTGGTGAAGTCGCTGAACTGGAAAAGCAACTACGGCACAAAGTTGAAAGCCTTGAAACCACCAATGTAAGCTTTTACCTTGTCTACTTAACGTCTCAGACTAACGTTTCAACTGTCAGGTCTCGCTGGAAAAAGATTTAGCCTCTGTAAAAGCTGAAGCTGACCACTTACGAGATGCTAAAGAAAAGGCGGAGTCCTCCGTTGTCGATCTTGAGATGCGCCTGGTAAAAATGGATGTCGTGATCACCTCAGGGATTTAACTTTGATTTTCCAGTTGAAATTTGGAGTATACCTTGGTAGCGCGATGCAAGAGCTTTACATGTGTCATAGAAGGTTGAAGAATGATGTTTCTACTATGTTTAAGGCCGAAAAGACCTTCCTCGAGGCTACTTTGACTTCTTTCCAAGAGATTGCAGATAAAATCAAGACAGCTGAGACCAGTTGTTCTACAACAGGAAGCCGAATCACGTCGGATACGAGCGACACGGGAACAAGCAGTGAGGTGAAACGAGTTTCTGTTTTTATTTTTCTTTTCAAGCAGAGAGATTCATTGCAGGTTCAAGAAAACAAAAGTGCGCAACCGGTTGTTAGCCAGGACGCTTTTTTGCAAGCATTACAGGACAAGGTATATAGTTCATCGTTTTTTTTTACTGCCACATAAACGCCTGATAAAATCGTGAACTTTGCTTTAGGTGTCAGCCTTAATGTTGCTCTCGCAGGAAGAAGAGAGGCGTCACCTGGAATGCAAGACAACGGGAGCCTTGGAATATCAGATAGAACAGCTCAACGAGACATTATCCCAGGTTCGAGCTCTATACTCAATTCTCCAGCCTATGACTAACTTGTTTAAACATGTAGGTGACACTGGAAAAAGTGGACGCTTTGATGCAAGTCGCGCGGCTTAAGTACGAGTGCGACGAGTTGAAAGATCGCGAAAGGTTTATCCTGTTTTTTTTTTCACTCCATTAAAAAAACTGCTCTTTTTCTCTTGCAGGGATTTATTGAAACGTCTTGAGAAGCCGTCTAGCTCAAACACCGGTGGGAGATTACTACCAGCTAGCTGGGCTGCAACCACAGAGCCTATAGACGTCGTCGAGGAGGAGATTACACAAGAAAAAAAGCAGCCATCGACGACATCGACGAGTTATCTCAAGTCCTGGTTGAGGGGTGGCGGCGGCGGAGAGTAGAACCACACTTTGTCAAATTTTCTTGTACGCATGGAGTTCTCCAGGTAGAGTTTCTTTTTTAAGATCGTATTGTTCTTCACAGGTAGCTAAGAATGTATGTTTCTTTCCAGCGTTTGTGGGAAAAAGTTAAGAATTTCGTTTACTCCCACTCGACAGTAGCGGGAGGTTTCGAAGTGAAATCATAAGCCACACGATTGACTCCTCTAACAGTGTTGCAAATCTTTCCAGTGACGTCTTTCACAAACTTGTTCTTGAATTCATACCTGCAGCCACCAACAAAAGAATCGTGAGTTTCAGAGTCTACTGATCGATCAAAGCTTTCGGCTTACGTGTCAGCAGTCATGCCATCTTCGCTCGTTATGGCTCTCAAGATGACGGGATAGGCATGCGTCCTCCTGTCTCCTTGGACTCCCACGGTCTTGACGGGAATCAGAACAGCGAAAGCTTGCCAGATCTCGTCGTAAAGACCGGCCTCTTTTATACTGTTCACGAAGATCTCGTCCGCCTAAATCTCAAAACGTCAAGGCCTCGCTCGAGGGAATACATTTCTTTTACCTGTCTCAGCATCTCCAAGTGGCTTTCCGTGACTTCTCCAAGGATACGCACAGCCAAGCCGGGGCCAGGAAAAGGATGCCTCTTTAGAAAGCTCTCTGGAACTCCAAGTAGTTTTCCAAGCTTCCTCACCTGGAAGAGTAGCAAGTGCTAAGAAATGGAATAGAAAAAAAAAACCAAACCTCGTCCTTGAAGAGCCATTTTAGCGGCTCCAAGAGCTTCAACTTCATCACTGCAGGGAGGCCTCCAACGTTATGGTGACTTTTGATCGTGTGCGAGTGACCCTTTCCACTTCCAGGCGGCGGACACGACTCGATCACGTCGGGGTAGAGCGTTCCCTGGACCAAAAAGGTTGCCGTCTTGCCGAGTTCTTCCTCGAGGTGGCAAGCAAACTTGTCAAACACGGAGATAAACTGTGCTCCGATGATCTTGCGCTTCTGCTCTGGATCGGTGACGCCACGCAGACGTGAAAGAAAATCCGTGCTTGCGTCCACGCAGACAACAGGGAGGTGTAACTCACGCTTGAAGGTTTCCATTACTCGCTCTTGCTCTTTATATCTGCAGTGACATCACTTTAGACAATCTTTTGCCATTAGAAAACTTTTAACTTACCTGAGAAGGCCATTGTCCACGAAGACGCAGTGGAGGCGATCTCCAAGAGCTTTGTGTACGAGCGTCGCTGCGACGGTGGAATCCACCCCTCCGGACAGAGCACAGATTGCGTGCTCGTTGGGTCCTACTGCCGATTTGATCAGCTCGATCTGTTCTTCCAAAAGGTCCTGGAGTTTCCAGTCGTCCACCACGCCACCAATGTCGAAGAGAATGCGTCGTAGAGTCTGGATTCCCTTGGGTGTATGAGTAACCTGGATCAAACAAAAACAATGTAAGTAGAAAAACCAAAGAGAGAACGTATCCAAAGAGAAAAAAAACTAGTTCTATCCATCAAGAAACAAAAGAGAGAACAAGTACTCTACCTCGGGATGATACTGCAATCCAAAAATTCCCAGATCGGTGTTTTCGATCGCCGTGATAGTTCCCTGGACACTCTTTGCCACCACGTTAAATCCCGGAGGAAGCGTCACAGCTTCGTCACCATGGCTCATCCACACCGCCTGCGTCATCATCTCTGGATCGTCCCCGTAGAGCTTAGATCCCAGACTAGCACGAATTTCCGTGCTCCCATACTCCTGGCTATCGGCGGGCTTGACCACTCCCCCGAGTTCCTTGACGATCAGCTGGAGCCCATAGCAAATCCCCAGCACCAAGACCTTCTTCTCCCTCACGTAATCAAAGAATCCATCGGGCACGGTGGGAGCGCCTGGCTCGTGGACGGAATGCGGTCCACCGGAGAGGATTACGATCGAGGGCGTGAGCTTGGCGATGGCGTCGAGCGATGCGCCGGCGGAGAGGCAGAAGGAGCACACACCTAGCTGGCGGACGCGGCGCGTGATGAGATGCGTGTACTGCGATCCAAAATCCATCACCAGCACCACATTGTGCCGCGACGCCTCCTCCTCCATCGCCATTGCCATCGCGCCGCGAAAGAAAGAATGCCCGAGGGTTTAGGGCTTTAGAGTAGATTATAGCCGTCAGATTTCTCCAAGCCAGTTCATGGCCGTCCGATTTTACACGTCATGCACCACTCGCCATGTCCGATTTCCGTGCCACGTCACGTCACGTAAAAACACGACATGTGGCGTTCTGTTGCCACGCAAGCGCAACGTCGCGATGGTTGGGCCGTCGGATCACTGACGTGGCGAATCGAACGGTCACCGCAGCGTTTCGCGCCGGAATGGTTTTTAACTTATTCTTGCCGCGCATTCTACTCTCATAGCGCGATGGCTCGCCCGAGAAGCACGCGGACTCCTCCCTCTCTTATGCGAAGGCGCCGCAGGCATAGAAGAGGAGTAAGTGATCGATCGATCGACCGCAACTTCTAATTCCTCTCTTCTTTCTCTTTTGTGATCGCAGAAACGCAGAAGAAGAAGAAGCCACCGAAGAAGATCCGCGGCCACCAATCCCGACACCAATCTCCTCGACGACTAAGCCGATCGATCGAATGCCTCTCCTTAGAATCCAAAATCTTGTGACAACACCCATCCATCTCCGGATGCAACTGTGAATAAAAATTTCCCCCCCATTTGATTGCACATTTTAGGGTTTATGGGGTTTTGCGAGCGATGGCTATGGCGCACCTCGCCAAGAAAGTGCCATTCCTCTGCCGGCAGTCAAGAAGGGCATTTTTCACGGCTTTCAAAGATTTTGCAAGGGACACAGGCTATCGCTTCCGGATTTGCGCTCTTCCAGGTCTGTTTCTAGAGTTCAGCGATCAAGATCAACCATGGTGTAAGTTCTTGCGGGACGCTTCGATCGCGTCTTTCTAGAATTTTATTTTTTCTTCTCAGACATTTTCGCGGCTTTTCAGGTGTTTTCGAGTTCGATCGGACAATTTCTTGGAGGAAGTTGCTCTTCATGCAAGTTCTTCGAGGAGCATTTGGAGCGATCTTTCTCTAGAACTGTGCGCCGGTCGTGAAGGTTTGTCCGAATTTCCAATTTCGCGGCACTACGTCGAGAGCTATCCTGCTCTCGCCATCGCTGGTACTCACAACGAAAGACAGGCCTTGCTCTAGCATCGACCGGTTGGAAATATGCCAGTTCTGGCCCCAAGCGCGAGTCGCCGGCGTCCAAGATCTTGATCCTTTGACAACCACGCTCCGGACATCTCCCGCTCCACCAACGTTGGAGATCATCACCAAGATGAACCATTTGTTGCCACGCATCGTGAAACGAATGCCACCCTGCCTCTTGCACTCGACTCTACACAAGATCATCGTAAGTCAGTGTGATTTCATGACTTATGGTGTGCTACCTTGTGTAGATGACTGGAATGATTCCTGCGGTCCTGTTCGCGAGGTGAACGAAGGCCGGCATGGAAAGATCGAAGTGTTGCTGTGGGTAGTTGCACCATCCTCCTCGGTAGCTCTTGCGAGCGGGATTTGGAGGGCAGAAGTTCGTGGCGGTGACGGTGATGGAGAGATTGCCGGGACGGCACCACTTTGGATCCTGATGGCACTTGAGCTCGTAGCAAGCTCCACAGGAAGCTCCGTTCTGGAACAAGACGGTGCTCAGAGCGGTGGTCTCCACTCCAAAGCCTTCGTGGTACATGTTGCCATAGCCGCAAGCTCCTCCTGCGAGAGAAGATCGAGCCAAGAAGACACACGCAAAACAAGCACATCACGGTCAGTTCTTCTCTTCGCTCTCCTTTGTTTTCGTTCTTTCTTTCCCAGAGATCTTGTGGAGGAAGTCTTTACGAATCGATGGCTCTTTGGCAGGAAAGACGAAGCGAAACTTTACCCATTGTTCCCGACGCGTCCGAGCCGCCATAGTACGTTGCGTGAGCTAAAGTCCAGCCCTCTGGAGTAGCTTGCTTCTCGCGTTCTTGAGCTGCCGCGAGAGAGAGGAAGAAGAGAGGAAGAAGAACACAAGAAGCCATCTCCATCTCTAAAACTCTTGCAAGAAACTCAAATAGAAAGATTAACGGGTAGAAATCTATAACGGTTTTCATATACTTTAAAATATTATGGTTTAGTACTAAACCTAAATTATCAAATCAAGAATTAGCATGCTTATATTTAGTGGAAATTAATTTTGATTGTTGCTTTTATTTTTTAGTAAACTTAAATTTAAGCAGGAATTCTCACTATATAAACAGGGTTAGTTGGATGATATTTTAAAAAAAAATGGGTTTAGAGAAAAAGTTTTTTGTGTTTCTGCTAGTGATAATTTTGATTGTTAATACGCATTGTGCTAGTCCTGCTCCCTCAAATCCAGATGCTCCTCACGTGGTTAAATTGACAGATGAAGATTCACGTAAGTATAATGCCAAAAAAATATAATTTTTTTCTAACTTTTTAATTTTTCTTTTTCTCAGACAATGTGAAATGTTGGAGGAGGTGTATTGAGAAACCAAAGCACTGGTGCTGGTATTGGGGATGTTGTTATATTCCACCTGCATCTCCCTCACCCTCTTAAAAAGAAGATTTACCATATTCTAATCTAATTTTTCACACCAACACCTCAAATTTACTGTATTGTGAATTCTTACCATCATCCTGATATTCACCTCTTTGTTAAACATTTGACGTTGTTCAATTAAAAAACACTCACACTTGGAATCTTCCCTCTGTCGCGAAAATTTTAAAAATCTCTTTTTGGAGCATTTTGGGGCATATTCGTCTACTTCCTAGACTTTAGGGCTCATCCATCCGCAATGAATCGGTCCTTTGCGGGAATGGGCGAGGAGTGGAGGATGAATTTGGGGTTGTCGAGGCTCATTGGCGAGGCCATGGCGGTTCCAGCGTGGGAGTATGCCATTCTCTCCACTCTCATTGCGATTGTGCTCCTCTACCATGTCCTGGATTTCCATTTCGTCGGCGACCTCCTCACGGGGCTCAGGGGCGATAAGGTGGAGCTCGTTTATAGCCCTTTCTCTCGAATTGCGGGGCAAATTCTCGCCAAATCCCAGTTCTTCAATCGCAGGTTTGTGAGTGATTTCTTTCGTGTCGATTTGGATGTGAAAACTTTTGTGGTTTCTTCGATTTGTTAGATATTGGCCAACGCCATGGCTTTGTAGTCCACACCTCCAAACAGCGTTTGTGCATTTCCATGGACGGCCACCAAAGGTGACTTACAGGAGGTGAGACATCATTCTCCCATCTCTTTCGCGTTTTTTCACAAGGATGTATCAGAGAGCTTTTCGTCGCGCCAGACGGAGGCACGACTGCTCTCGACTGGCTCGATCCAGGTTCGTCAAAAACTAAAAGAAAATCTATATTAGCTTGACTAATATCGTGTCCTTTGCTAGAGTCATCTGGAGATATCTCTATACAAGAGACTCCTATAGTGATCATCGTGCCGGGACTAAGCAGTGAATCGAGCAACGCTGTAAGTTTTCTAGACGTGAAATGTTTCCACGGTTGAAGAACTGGACTTTCTCTTCATGCAGTATATGAAGCATTTGGCCCATGGAATGGTAAATCAAGGCTGGAGAGCCGTCGTCATAAACCACAGAGGCCTCGGAGGCGTGACTCTCACCGTAAGCTTTGCGTGAAGAGCTTTATCTTCCTTCCATTTCTTTTCTTACTCTATTGTTTAGTCGGAGCGATTCTATCACGCAGGATGGACGAGCGATTTGAGATGGTTCATCCAGGATTTACACAAGCAATTTCCTAAGGCACTTCTTCTAGCAGTTGGCACCAGCCTCGGTGCTAATATCCTGGTACCTTAAGATCTGTGTTTTCTAGTTCTTTTAACGTTGTCATTGGGATTTTAGGTGAAGTATCTAGGTGAAGAAGGCGAGAACACTTTACTTGGTGGTGCAGTCTCTATCTGTAATCCCTGGGATCTTGTGGTGCGTCTGTGTGGAAAAACTTTATTTCTCATTCTTTCTTCTTTTTTCTTTTTACTTTGCAGGTTTGCGACAGATTTATAGCTCGAAAACCTGTCCAAAAGCTCTATGATAAAGCAGTAGCAACGGGACTTACTGACTTTGTGCACAGGTAAGTTGTTGCTTTCGATGCTGTGGATTTTGGTTACAACTTGGTTTTCCTTTGTGTGAGCAGGCATTCGACCGTGCTGTCAAGTATGGACAACTGGAACTTTATCAGGAAGGTAAACACTTGACGGCTTTCTGATTTTTCATGTTTTTTTTTTTTTCTTCTCTCCTGCAGTCACGCTCTATACGAACTTTCGATCATCTTTTCACGATAACTGTCGGCAAGTTTGAGGTAAAACACATCTTACTTCTCTCGAACGATTTTCATGAAACTGCATGAAATTCTCTCGTTTGCAGACAGTGGATGATTACTATCGACGGTCCAGCAGTGCTCACCTCGTTGGCTCTGTCGCCGTGCCCCTCCTTGCTGTTAACTCTCGCGACGATCCTTTGTGCACAAAAGAAGCTATTCCATGGGACGAATGCAGGTAAATCGTCGTCCATATTTTCCACCAAACGTTTAATTTGATGGCAACTCCTTTTCAGGCTCAATCCTAATGTCCTACTTGCAGTGACACAACACGGTGGCCACCTTGCGTACTTTGAAGGCTTGACTGCCAAAAGCATTTGGTAAAATCCGTTTTTTTCGTAGACTTGTTTCTTGATTTATTCTTCTCTATGCGTTCCAGGTGGGTTCGTGCTATTGAGGAGTTTTTCCAAGTTATAGTTTCGAGTTCTCCGGTGCAAGTTTCAGAGGTTTGAAAAACGAGAAAAGTTTCATTATAACTTAACGCAAGTTTTTTGTTTGAGCGCTGTAGGATCCTAGTCCCCAGCCAGTCTCAGAACCTTTGCCAGTAGCAGCAGCAGCGGAAGAGCCCTCCACCTCTTCTACAACTGTGGAGCCGGACGTTGCTGAAACGATGGTGCTGAACGAGGAAGAGATCTTTTCCGAGGAATCTAATCGAGAATTCGAGTTCCAGCCTCGAACGGCTGCTGCAGAGCTAGAATCCTCCATTTCGATGGACGGAGAGGGCCTCAGCATCCACTTGTGCTTGAAGACTCGCCAGGAGATGCTTGCGCTCCAGCGTGCCTTGTCCAGTATCCTTGAAGAGGTAACGTTTTCTTTCTTTCGGTTCCTTACTTGATCTTGGGTGTTTTACAGCCTACGAGTAAGAAGCAGCAAAAACTCGAAGCTTCGACAATTGGAACCAAGCAAGCACTGTTGCTGCTAGCTGTTCCTCTTGTTGGTTCAGCTGTTGCGCTCGGCTTGCGACGAAAATACTTCGAAAAGCTGCTAAGGAGGATCATATAAACGCAATATGATAGAATAATCGTAATAATCCACAACTATTGAACCATAGAAAGTATGACACATTCGAATCCTTAAAGATTTAAAGAACTTGAATCGTAGTTTACGAAGTTTGTACACTTGTGCGCAACATGGTTGAAAGAAGAATGTACAGTTTGGAAGAATCCACATCTAACCTGCAACGAAACCTTTCAGGATTTTGGAGAAACTTTGCGTCCCCAGCACGAGCAAGGAGATCCTCCACACAAATCAAGAGCTCCGGTGTTGCTGAAATCTCGTAGTCTCCAGCCATGGCAAGGAAGAACCTTAGGCCATCACAGACACGGCCCGAGTGATTGCAAGCAGAAATAATTGCTGCAAAGGAAACATGGTCAGGAATCACACCTTCCATAGCCATTCTTTGGAACATCTCAAAGGAAAACGTAGAAGTTTGGGCTCGAGCGCCACAGATTATGATGGAAGTCCACGAAATAGCATCCCTATCGGGCATTGATTCAAACAAATGCTCAGCTCGTTCTACAAGCCCGGACTGGGAATACGCAGAAAGCATGGCATTGCAAGCTTCCAAGCTTTTAAATGGCATATTCTCCAGCATCTTTTCTGACTGCTGGAGACAACCATGCTTCCACGATGCCGTGATGGCAATGGTCCACGATGCCATGTCGAGATATGGCATCTTTTCAAGCAGAGCGTACAGTTGTGAAAGATGCCCGGCTCGGGCATATGCTTCAAGCATCTTGTTCCAGGAAACGATGCTTCTCACTGGCATAGAATCAAAAAGATGCTCGGCCTGGTCAAGGTGGCCATAGAGAGAGTACGTGGAGATCATGGCCGTCCACGACACAACACTACATTCTGGAATATTCTCAAAAATCTCCCGGGCTGCTTCTAACTTACCCGCTTGTGCATGGCAGGCAAGTAAGGTGTTCCACGATACCGTACACCATTGTGGCATTCTTCGAAAGAGCATATCCGTGTCGTACACATGCCCAGAGTTAGCAAATGCCACTAGCATGGCATTGTACGTCACAATATTTCGTAGAGGCATATTCTCAAACACGCCCCACGCATTTACAGCGTCTCCGTGTTGTCCATACACCGCTAGGAGCGTGGTATCCGTCACAAGATCCCTCTCGGGGAGCTCTCCGTACAGTAGCTTCGTGCTGTGGAGATGCCCTCCCTGGGCATATGCCGCAAGCATAGCATTAAAGGAGACTATGGTCCACTGGGGGAACAAAGAGAAGAACCACTCCACTTTTGACACGTGGGCAGAGTGTGTATAGGCAGTGAGCATCGCGGTCCAGGACACAATGTCTTTCTCTGGCATTGAATGGAAAAGATTCTCGGCTTCGGCAATATTCCCAGACTGGGAATATTCCTGAAGCATCAGGTTCCACGAGAGGAGGGTGTGTGCTGGCATGGAATCAAAGAGGATCTTGGCTTGTTCGCGGAATCCATGCTCGCTATACATTTTGATAAGAGTGTTCCATGTCACGGGCGATTTGTCCTCCATCCCATCAAAGATGTTTTTTGCTTGATCGAACTTGCCATTGCGAGCATAGGCCTGGATGAGAATGTTGCAAGAGAAGAGATTGGGCGCCTCTAAGGCTTGGAATGCGCGCTGGGCTCCCTCCAAATCGCCAGTCTTCCCATACATCTCGATCAGGAGATTGACGAGGTATTTGTTCTTCCGCAATCCATGGCTCCCCAAAACTAGTTTGCGAGTGTGATTTGTCTCAGAGCCACACTGTTTGATGAGTGTCGCCACAGATCCAATCTCCTCACCAGCGGCAACCACGGGCATTTCAAAAGAAATTTAACAAATGCTTTCAGTGAGGT